CCTGCCCCTGCCCCACTCCCTCCCTCACTGCAGGGCCTTGATATGCACCCCCACCCCTTCCCTCCTCCGTACCTCTTCCTGTCCACACATTTACCTGCTGAGTGGTGTCAAACAGCTGGATGTGAAGTCAGTCCCCCAGCAGGAGGTGTGTGATCATATGAGGGGAGGGTATGGTTGTGGGGCTTGTGGGGGAATGCTTGTAGGGGAGTATGGTGGGGTGTGCATGGGACCCCCTGTGCACCCCTCTAAGCTGGTCAGCTCCTGTCCCCACCCCAAAACAGCACAGAGCCCACATGCCCTGCGGCACTTCCCTGCCACTGCCAGCAGCGCGCAGCCCACCCCATACTTGCTCCAGACTCGCCCCAGTGGGAGCGGATCAGCTGGGATTCATGCTGCATGGCCCCGACCCCTGTACCTGCTCCGGACTCACCTGCTTAGGCTAAACAGTGGTGGGGAAAGTGGCCCCTCCTCACCGCTGAGAGGCGCTCCCTGCTACAGCTGCCCGGAGCCTGTATCTGGCTTGTCCTGTGGCTTGTCTGCGCTGCCACCGATGCCGGATGCAGCAGTGACAGCAGCAGAGCCACAGGGCAACCCAGCATGGGCTCCAGGCAGCTGTAGCAGGGAGCACCAGGCGGTGGTGGGGGGGGGGGCTGCTTTTCACCCATACTGAGCAAACATTTTCTGCCCAGCCAGTGGTGGTGCTGCTGCTGCTGTTTAGCGTGAGCAGGCAAGTCCAGAGCAGGCGTGGAGTTGGGGCTGTGCAGTGCAGGTCCCCACTGGTACCACGGGGCTGGGGCCAGCGGCAGTGGCAGATGGAAGAAGCTGCCGCCACCTGGTCTGCCTAGACAGACCATTGAGCCACCCCAGCCCAGCTGCGTGCTCAGGGGGCAGCAGGATGCACCTCAGCAGGACAGTACCTGGACCAGGCGGGAATGAGGGACCCACTGCAGGCCAGACAGAGCTGGCCCGCAGGCTGTGTTTTGCCCACCTGTGCCCTAAGATGTACTTGGGTCACATTGCTCAAGCTGTTCCCCAACTATGAGGGCTAGCAACTTTCTTCTGAGATCTTCACAATCCAAGTGCCTTCAGGACCTCCAGACTTTTAGAGCACCAAATATCAAGAGTTGACAGCATTGTTTGGGACATTTGGATATTAAGTGCTTGTTAAATCCTCATTTTAATTATATCCAGAGCATGGTATTTTGACACAGCAATCGTGGAACTTCTCAATACAATTTAATCTAGGGCTAGTCTTTAATTGAAATTTAAAATATTGAATTCCCTAGAGTTGAATGTGTTCTGTTGTAGCTGCCTGCTTAATGACTTGTATTCCTTGAAGCATTTTTTTCAGTGCCCAATTCCTATCTTGTTATGCAAAAATACAAGTAACTTCAAAGAAAGCATTTAATATTCTATTTTAAATGGGACAGAATTATTCCTTTGAAAGAGTAATCTAACTATGGGCCATGGCATCACATACATGCAGAGCTAACAATATTAGGGTATGTTTATGCCTATCCCTCACTCTCTTGTGCCTGACTTTTCAGACTGTAAACTCTCTGGTTCTGGGATTTCTTGCCACTGTAAAGGGTTTAGTGGATTGGATTCCCATTCTTGATTTGGTCCATCGGCATTCTGTATGAAGCATGACTAATAACATCAGACAACACAGCATTCTTGTATCCTCTGCTAATTAATCAAATGATTTCCTTTTTTTTTTTTTTTCAGTTCAGATGTACTGCTTTCAAACCTTTTGGCTTTGGCTACTGGAATGCACTTAGCCTCCCTTTCATATCTGAGGGAGCTGCTTATACTCCTATTGCTGTGGCAATGTTAAGTCCTTTAAAGTACTCTGCTTTACTGTTGGTGGAAGAATCTTTTGAAATGGTTTGAGTTTAATAGATGTCTGCCTATTGTGTGTTGGATCGTCTCAAAAGAATAATCCAGTATGGGTCTGGCACAGACGCCCACTTAAAACATCTGACTCCTGTTTTGCACGCGTTGTCTAGCAGTACCCAGACAACATTTTTCTGGCTCATTTGTACTCCTGCTAATGTCCAGCATCCCACTTGGACTGGAATGATCTGTGGATTACTCACTTTTCAAGTATATGACTATTCAAAGAGGCTGCCACAAATTCTTTTTTTTTCTTCTCTGCAGTACTTGGGCCATGTGGAAGTGGATGAGTCCAGAGGAATGCATATCTGTGAAGATGCTGTGAAGAGATTAAAATCTGTATGTATTGTTGTTTCATCAGGATGTTAGCTGGTGGGCTGTGCATGTTATACCAAATGTTGCTGTTCCTGCAGTAATGTTTCAGTTTTCAGACTGCACTTTTGACCTTAGGTTAAGAAAACAGTTGGCTCATTTAAAAGAACACTGCATATGATTACAGAGGCACATGCTAATCTGGGGATGAGAGAGGGAGAGAGTTTAAAACAAAAACAAAAAACAAAAAACAAAAAACAAAACAAAAAAACAAACAAAAACCCCCCCAACCCATTCATCCTACTTGTAGCAGCTAGAAGGTTGCAAAGAAGTTATAGAGAAAAATGGAGATGCTGTGACCTTCCAGAGAATTAGTGTCACAAGAGATTTTATTCAACTCCTGTTAGCTAAATATAAGGAAAGATCTCTCCCTCTTGAGTCTGCCACTGAAGCAGGCAATTTAATTTACTCTTTTACACTCAGCATTAATAGTTGGTGTTTGGGCTGCTTTTCCTATGCAACTTAAAACAGTAGCATTGCTGTATGCATGCTAAGCTTGTGTCTGCTCCAAGTGGCCTGATTCTGGTGTCAGTATGATGGGCTGCTCTTAGTTTGGCTTCTGTGAATGTTTGTTCCTGAAAACCGCACTCATTTAAAATGCTTTTGACTCCTGTAGCTTGCTTTTAGGACATCTTATCATCTGTTTCCTGTAGTTACTACCACAAAATCCTGCAGAAATAACAAGCTCCAAATAGTTGGTGGCCCATTTTTCAAGGAATTGGGGGCTTCAAAAATCTTAAAGCCAACAGAAGGAAGAATAATGAAATAATGAATCAGAGAAACAATCCTAAGCGTGATGGATACAGAACTACAGTTCTTGTTCTTTCTTGTTCTTTCTCCTGTACTCTGTAGCTGTATAAACTCTTCAGTGATGAAGGTGGCCCTTCTATTTAGTGTTGCTGCAAAATTAGTTTTGCAAGCATCTTTGTTGCAACTTCTGCAAACTTAAGTCTGCCACCAGACCTCATTATTATTGTTATTGTTGCTATTGTTGTTGTCACATTTACTGCTTGTTATAATAGCAGATTTCATGGGTTCTGACTAAATCCTTTGTTTCCTTCTCTGTTTAGCACAGAAGATTGTAGATTTTTTTCCTCATGTGCTTTCAAGTTTTTGAATTGACTTCAGTACTTTGATTTAAAGACTGAGTCTTTTAATTGTCCTCTTCCTCAACCAATCTGTAGCAACATGTTTTAAAGCTCCACCTCATCTGTTTTTATTCAGTATAACAGTGAGTGGTTATTACTCTTGGTAGTAGGCAACAGATAATGAGCCACTATGTCCTTTTGTTGGATTTAGTTTTCTGTGTAGCTAAAAGTCAAGTGTAGAGACTGACGGTATTATCAGTTTGCATCCATTTTTCTCTTGTCCTGATCTCTGTAGGTCTTTAAACTGCCCTCCTCACTATAGTTTCAAAGCACCTTCCGTTGGTATGTTAAGTGACATGGCTAACATCTGTCATGTAGTTTGTTCTTGCTCTTGTTCTCTCCTTAAGAGGGGGAATTATCTAGAGTGGAATATTTCTGCTTTGTTAGCTTTTTTTTTTTTTTTAAACCTGACTCTCACAGGCCATTTAAGTGTAGTTAAATCAATAAATAGTGAAACATTAAAAGTACTTTAAGCTTAGGGCATAGTTGCTTTGGATTCCAAGTAAGTCTAGAGATCTGATACTGATTTGCTTGAACTATCATTTCAAACTTCAAATTTCACTTGAACAAATGTTAAAGGCTTGTGTTGCCTGTAGGCAATACAAGATATTAAGATCATAGGAAAATAGGCTGGAAGGGATTTCATGAGGTTATCTGTCTAACGTACTCTTGAAAATTTCTAGGGATGGAAATTCTACCACTCTTCTGTAGCCTGTTCCTATGCTTGATTATCCTTTTAGTCAAAGGTCTTCCTAACTCTAACCTAAATTTCCTCTGGTGCAACTTGAGGCCATTGCTCTTAGTCCTGTCCCATATGGTCATAGAGAAAAGCCCATCTCCATCCTCTTTATAGCCACCCTTCAGGTATTTGATGACTGTTAGCAAATCCCCTCCAGTCTTCTCTTCCCCTAATTCCATCAGTTCTATACCCTATAGCTAAACTGTTCACAGACACCCAACTGCCCATTTCACTGTTAACCAGTAGCTTTTCTGATTTATTGGAAGCTAAAGAAGGTTTTTGAGGAATGAATTTTGAATCTTACGCAAGTTGGACACTAGCTTATGGTTTTTCTAGCTGCTGTCTTCAAGGTGACTTTGCCAACTTGGAGCTGAGAAACTGCCAAATTCTCAGTGCTGCTTACTAAGTAGATGCCTTAGATTACTGAGCCTAGTTTGTGCAGTTTTTTTTAGTGATAAAACTCCATCGGATCAAAGGTTTATTTGGAGCACATCACTAGAGTTAATTGCATGTCTTTTGGGTTTTATTTTTCGCATTTATCTAGCAATTTTTAGAATAAATAAAAGCTCCTTTCCTTTCCTTTTTTGCAAGTTTTTATGTGTTTTTTTTTGCCACATCAAAGAGTATATATGAAGCTTTCTCATGCAAGACGTTCTTTATTCTGTGGCAGGAGTGGAGTTTATTCTTAAGGTAGATTCTTGTTTCCCCCTTAATTAGTTAAGATGAGGTTTTCCTTTTGCTCTAAAACAAAATATGTTTGGGCAACGTTCCTTAAATTATGAAAGGTATAATGAAGGGACGTCTTTCTTTGAGGAAACTTCTCTTCTGGTAAGCTTACAATGCCTCTAAATCTACAGGGTCCATTTTGATTTTTTGCCACTTATCATCTTCTGTAGAGTTGTTCTTTTCCGTAGCATTCTGCCCATGGGGATGTATCTTCTTAAAAGGAGGAAATATGAGAGCAGCCTAGAATTGTCAAAAATCATGTGGATAGAAGATTGCTAAGTAATTAAGTTCAAATTTTCTTTCTGTACTTATTTCAAGGGATACCGTTTTTCTCAAGTCCATGTCTTTGGAACTGCTACGGAGAGATTCTAGCAATACACTTTGAGCATTGAGCTCCATCTCCTCAAATTGACATGTTGCTTAAAGAATAATGTAAAGCAGGAATTTCTCATTTTTTGAGAAACAATTAAATGTCTTCCTCCCTTTCACAAGCTTCTACAGCATGCTTAGTGGAAGTCTGCCCTGACTTCTAGGGTTTTTTGTTGCTACCTGCTGCTTGAATGTGGCATAATTCAGTTTTGACTGATCATTGCATCCTCCATCTCAGGTGTGGCCCTTCATTTTAGCACCACATCTCCGAGGAACCAGCTTGACTATTTAAAAGTGGGGGGGAGGGGGAAGCCTGAACCTAGTGGCACTCAGCTAGCCCAAATAGCCGTGTTGGCCTTTGAACAAGAGTGAGCTCCTTAATTTTGTTTTAGGTTTCAAATACATGAAGAACATGTCAGGAACTTAGATTCCCAGTATAGAGTACATGGAGGAATGATGCACCCCATTCAAAACAGTACACTTGAGCTATGAACCCGAACTGCTCTGTTGTCTCTGTGTTGAGGAAATACACTTTACCGCTCATGGAATTACGCATGCAGTTTTCTTCTGTGAGCAGTCATCAAGATGCAATGAATCTAGGGGAAAAAAATCTTAAGATTGCAACAGCATTGTTTGCTTCCTGCATAAGGCTGTGAGATAACTAGTTAAAAATACATTTTCATTTACTGATTTGTCAATAGAATTCTTCCCTAACTAATGTATCCTGTTAGTACAAGTTAAGGCTTTTTTGAATTACAACTTAAAATGAATAGCAGTGAGAGGTCCTTGCAATTGTCATCCTGTTACTTTTAACAACATTTAGTTTTGTGTTGTGTGAACAATGGGGCTTACACTTTTCCATTGGTATAGCTACATTACTAAATGGAGTTAAATTGCACATCTGGTAGGTCCTTGCACTCAAATGCTATACACAGCATTTTTCTAAAAGCACATTATTGACTAAAAATAGCTAGTGCAAATTGCAAAAAGAATAACTTTATATGGGTTTTGCAAACCTGCCACATGTGTATTTGACTCCTGTACAAGGAGGCAATACAAAGGCAAGAGTGTACTCTCTATTGTCTCATGTCATCTGTTCTGGTTTTGAATTGGCTTCAGTGTGTACTACCCATTTCTAACTTGCCACTTTTTGTTTTTAAATGATGCATTTGTTTTTAATATATGTTCTTGTTTTAGCAGGTAAAAGAAACAATTTAATTTTTTAAACATGTATTAGTTATCTCTAAACTATATTAACTTAGTGCTGTTTAAAACCTGTTTTGCATGATATCTTTTCCCATTAACTTTTTTCTTGGTATTAAAAAAACATTCTTTCATGTTTAACAAGTGCTTTTGCACAGAGCAGAATTAACTGTCACCTAAAAATAAGGTTGCTTCTGGTGAATCCTTCTAGCTTTTGCTGCATCTTTTTAAAAGGTGATTGTTACTAGTGTAGTACAATAGATATCACTCAACTTGGCAGCAGCAACTAGGCTTTACTGATTATATGCAGAGTACTGTGATTAATTTATTAGTTCCCCTGAATGTATTCAGTATATCCTGTCCAAATACATGATGAGTTGTCTTTTTAAGAATCTAAGTTTAAAATCTTTCTTCGGACAAAACACTGTATGTGAATCTCTCCAAATTTTAAAGGATGTACATATGTTCAAGCTATATGTTATATAGCTAGGTATGAAAAGATTTTGGGCTCTGGTATAAAGCAGCAAAATAAAGCAATACGAAACAAACCAGGAAATGCAAAGTTAAAATTGACACTCCCTTCTTAACATCGAATTTCCGGCTTTTTGTTTGCTTGTGGCAAGCTTTGTTTAAATATGTAATTGTGCTAATCCATGTTTGAGATTAAACTTTGAGATTGCTAAACATATGCATTTTAAACACAGAATTATTTAATTATCAATAGATTGGTATATGCAGTTCATTTACTCTTAAGTGAGGTAGAAGATAAGATTTCTCTTGCCTCAGATGTATAGGACTAGACTCCTGTTTAATGTGATAACATTATCTCAGGGAGCCATTCTGAATAAAGTAGTCTTGCATTGAGAGAGATGACCTTGATTTATTTAACAGTTCTTTCATATCCAGCTTGAATCCTGTGATTTTTATTGTGTAGAATGTCACCAGTATAAAGAATTTGGGAAGATAGCAAAAGCCAGCCTTGTGCTCAGTAGCAGCCTGCCACCCAATATTGAACAGACAATATAATGCCCTGTAAACATGGGCTAACCCAAATGTCTGATGAAGCGCCAGTTCAAATTGGGCTGACTTCAGATGTATTGAAGTTCAGTCTCTTTACGCCACCAGCAGCAAAGTGTAATCAATAAAACAGGAATGTATTGAATTGCATACAAGTGTGCTTAATGCTTGCATGCCATCCAATGAACTTTGTCTGTTTGTGTGTTTATTTTGGGGAGGGGAGTAGGTGAAAATCAGGTCCATGCTAGACAAGTGTACAATACTTTTGACTTGAGTTCTTGCACTGAATTGCTCTCCTTTCTGAAAATGCTTTACCTGGGTTATTTAGTCCTGCAGATCTGCAGGTGTTGTTCCTCTTGTGTAAAGTGGCATATTTGAAGAGTTTCAAAGGGAAGGTTGGGGAAAGACTTCCACTTAAAAGTGGGTAGGTAAAGTACAGGTAAATTTGAGTTTCTTGGCATTCTAGGTAGGACCATGAAGAAGCAGGGAAGTGAGGGAAAGATGGGAGCTCAAATGTACCTAGGTTATGAGCCAATTGCTAAACTTGTGTTACTGGTGATTTAAAAAAAAAAACAAAACCCAAATCTGTTCAATTTGAGAGAGAAACTTCTAAGCATCTGAAAAATGCCTAGTTTTAAGAAACAGTGAGAGCCCTTGTATTTTAGATATGGAAATCAGGGAAGTGCACTGAGACACCTCCAGGAGAAGCTTCAGTTTTGTGCAACCTATTACAGCTGAGTTGAAATTCTCAAAAGTAACTTAAAATGCAAATGGAGCCCCCAAATTGTCTTTTTCTATAGTTAACACTTTGTGCTGTTCTGACAGTTTCAGAGACTTCTCTGGATTACAGAACACTTCTGTCTTGCAAGTCATTGATTTCATGTGAAACAAACTTAGCTGATTCCTTAAAATTAGAAATTTAAATTTCACAGGGCTATTACATCACAGACTTTAAATTAAATGCTATGTCTGCTGCCAAGTTTGGTTTATAACCTTACTAAACAGAACTAAACAGGGAGATGGAAAACAAAGTAACCTCTTTGCATGAAATTGGGGCTGAGGTTCTCTTCTTTCCACCAATTTCAGGGCAGTATCATGGTAGAGATCCATGTAATGCTTCTTTATCTGCATTTTCATGGGATTTTCACATTTGCTTGTTGCATCCTCTCTGGATAACTCTAAACACCCCTTGCTTTCCCTCCAATCCCCCAACTCTTGTGTGTGCTTATTGGTTTGAAACCCTGGGACATTTTAGCTACCAACAGTAATAGCGCTCGACTTGTCCCCCTGTTCCTCCAGGAAAGGAAGTTCTTCAAAGGCTTCTTTGGAAAAGTAAGTTTAATGCCTTATTTGTGCTTGCACTATAAGGAGTTACATCCCTGGTATAGCATTGTCATAGGTCAGTGTGTTTGTTATAAAACCCCAGAAATCTGTGTTAAAACGTTTTCACCCAAGACTGACTCAGGAATAGGTTTGCCAAGCGAAGAACGCAGATAAAAAGCAGCCTGTAATTAAAGTCTAATGGTAGATCAGTTGATCTCAGGCAGTGTCCAAGTGGTGTGACCTCATTAGACAAAGCCACAGGACTAGATTGTATTACAGTTAAATATTTGAAATTCCCCTCTGATTCCTGAAGTTAGCTGTGGCCTAGGTTATATAAAGCAGAACCGATGTAGTAGGTATATATCTACTTCTTAACCATTGCAACAGTGACATACCCCTGGGCCAGCTCTATAGTGTGTGTTTGGAGTTGGAAGGGAGAACACTTCATCTGTTGCTACTGTATCCTAGGCAGCAGAGATGTACAAAGATTAAACCAAAATTTTACTTATAATCCAAATTGTTAGGGAAAATATACAAGATTCTCCTTGAATGTACTGTATCAGCATTTGCTTAATTGCTGTCTTGTGTGCGTACACATTTTTAGGATTAAAAATGTATATCTCAATCTCCAAAATTGCTTCCTTTTTAGTTAATCAACCATTTCCTTCCTTCACGATGAAAATGTCAGCTGTGTTTAAAATCTTTTAAACAGTTTAACTTTGCTTCCACTTACAAATGACAAAATGGTTTAAAACTACATTATGCAGCGTACTTATGGTTCATAGACATGTTGATGATTTGGATGTAAAATCCTTTCTTCCCCTTTGCTGCTTTAAGTGGGGGAGGGAAGTTCTTTACAGTAGATAATGCTCTGTTCAGAAGTTTGTTCAGCCTTGCTTAAAGAGCACGCAGAATTTCAGTTGCCATTTTCTTTTCTTTGAGAACCTGTTACAGTACATGCCAAAGCAGAACATTACTTCTGTATCCAGGATTTTTCTAATAAGCTGGGAGGAGGAAACGCATTCTCCTGTGACGAGTACGAGTAGTGAAGGGAGAAGCTGTGACCTATTTAAAGCCCGCATGCCGTATGTGGGAGATGTCACGCAGAACAGATCTGATTTGATTGTTAACAAGAAAAAACCCCAAAAGCTTAGGGAAGGCCCTGCATAAAAACAGAGCCTGCAAAACTTTGAGTGAAAATTTGTACTGCTTGCATAATTTGTAATGACAAATGTTTCTTACCAAGTTTTGTTAGACCTTGGTAAAACAACAGCCTTAACGGACAGAGTGAGATGTACATTTTTTCTTTTGAATGTTGATGTAATATCCAGGGTCATACTTGTTAAGTACTACAGACTGAATAAAGGACTATTTTAACATAATTAAATTCAGCACTTCTTTGTAAAGTAATAGCGTCTATCTTCTGCCAGGAAAGAGGCTACTTTTCAGTAAGATAATTCAAGCATTAACTCTTAGCAGTGACTTCTCTACATGGCAGAGAAAACCTTTCCTGGTTTTCTGAGCCTTCTCTTCATTTTATTACAATATTTTGCCAGAAAGATGATTGACTTCCTTCCTCTTCAGCTGGCTAAGTTCTTTCAATTGCCATTTAGAACATTTTTCTAATGACCCATAGAAATATCACCCCAAACGTTGGTATATTACCAATGCCTATAGTAGAACATATTGCATATCTGTTTAGGGGAGGGGAGAACCTGTTTTTTTTTATACATTAAGGCACGGCTTTCACTGAGCATATCTGTGAAATTTTGATATGCACTTGGATATCTTATCTGGATATTTTCCACTGATCTGTTTCCACTGGAACTAATTCAGACATTCGAAACCTCCAAGGAAGGTTAGTTTTAAAACTGTCACTATATTACAAAATATTCCAAGAAGTTTTCTTTTCCCTCTTTACTGAAGGAGGGAGGGCTGGGGCAAAGTTTAATTTTGCGTGAGGTAAAATCACTTCTTGACCACTGATATGATTTAACCTCTCTCATCCCCGCCTGATTTTTCAGGACATTCAATGGGAACTTCTGTGTCCTGCGATAAGAATTTCAGATTAGGAGTCAGGGTTTTAAAATTTAATTACATAAAGCACAAAATACTCTCTTAAATCATAGAAGTCGGGTGGGAAGGGACCTTGTAGATCTTCAAGTCTGACTCCCTGCCTGGGCAGGAGAAAAAACTGGGCTCAAATGATCCCAGCGAGGTAGGCATCAAGCCTCCTCTTAAAGACCCCCAGGATAGGAGCCAGCACCACTTCCCTTGGAAGTTGGTGCCAGATCCGAGCCGCCCTGATGTTTTCCTTTACTTTGTGAGTTCTGCTACTCCTGGCTGAGTCACCTGCCTATGGATGGAAAGATATAATGAAACTTACCCAGGGTAGAGTTGTAATTGGAAGGTGGTTCATCCTATGCACCTCACCACATACATCTGGGTAACGTGTGCGTATCTGTGTTTTGTATGCAGTTCAGACTTCAGAGTCCATACAGCCCTAAGATGAATGGCAGCCACCTGTATGTCTTAAAGTAAAAGAATAGCTCTCGGGTAGAGCTAATTGGCTGATGATGTTCAAAATTTTATCTTGAAAGGGCTAGAAGCTTGGCTGCAAATGAAAATCTTGTGTTCTACAGAACTGAATCTGTCATAGTAGGAAAAAAATGCACAAGCATGCAACATTTGTTTTTTCACGTTATTAATGTCATGTCTTACGAACAGAACCTGACTCAAACCTGACATCTTAATGGACTATTTGAACTTGGTGACTAACACTGTTATTTAGGAAAAGTGAATTTACAATTCAGTTTACTGCATTTTGCTGCTGTTTGTTGATGCCTGCTTCTTCTGATGTATTGATGGTAACCCACTGGTGAGTGGGTTATATATCCCTCTCTATGCTCAATCCATACAAATCTATTACAGCTCTCTGGTTCAAATTTTGGCTAATTAGCATCAGTCTCATGTATAGAAAGTATTGAAGGTTTTTTGAAAACTCAGTGTATATTGCTGGTGGAGGAATATGCTTCCTTCACTAACACTGGAACAGTATGATCTCAACCTGCACATCTTGCCCATTTGTCGCAGATACTTTCAGTACTGCATTGATTAACCCTGTCGGGTCTCTGGCATAACTACTGTATACAGTTTGATGAATTAGACATCTTCTGTCATGATGAAGTCTACAGTTCATCAACAGTGTCTTAGCAAGTCCTAACACTACCAATACAATGGATGTAGCATGTGTGTAGGCACACTTCCATTCTAACCATGAGCATAATCATCTCATTTTGCTTCTCTGATTATGGGAGTTATTTGCGCTTATCAAGCTGATGTAGGCTACATCTGTGAAGCATTGTCTTTGCATACATAGTTCAGAACTCCAAGCCAAGCTGGTAAGGATAATGCAAGGATTCAGCAGATGGAGGAGTTGCAGAAGGTCCTTTGAGCTCATGGGAAGAAAAAAGGAGAAAAATCAGCTGTTTTCTGCAAGACCTGGATGTGTACAAAAAAGATGTCCCAGGGCTGCCAATTGAGAGAATACAAAGGACACCCACATGAACACAGGATTCCCTTACTAAAGTCTTGTAGAAATCATATTGTCCACCTGATTCTTGACCAGGTGGTAAAATAAGACTGCAAGAAATGTAAGACTTTTTTCAGCACAACAATAAGAAAAACAACTAAACAGGATATATCTTGAATCATAATGCTGCAGGCTTTGTCTCTTCATGAATTTGGAACATAAACCGCAGGAACCAAAACTAGAATTGTGTGAATTTTATGGCTTTGCATCCAGTGCAAGTCAAAAAAAGTGGAACCAGATAGAAGTACCCAGCACCCACATTCTTATCTTCCAGCTGAGCAACAGATGTGCCGTTCCATGGCTTCATTAAATGTAGTTTTATATAAATAACAGACTAACAGATGAGGGCCTGCCTTGCCTGGCTTCCAGGATGGCTACAAGAAGTAAATGGCTGCATCTCTTCCTAAAGACCCCACACCACCACTAGCTCTCGTGCATTTTGATTCTTCAGTATTTTTCAGAAACAGTTCCTTGAAATTTCTGGGATTGAACTTGGTTTACCATTTGGAGAAAGTTCCATTAGTTTAATTTGTAATTTTTAATGGACCCTCATTCACCTAGACTCTGTTTTTCTGGATTTTTAAAATATTGTCTAAAATAAATTAAGAAGACTGTGGATCATTTAAAGGGAAACTGCCACTCATTTTTAAAAATGACAAAATGGTCTACATAAAGAATGCACTAACTGCTGGTAGGAGCACATGACCCACTGTGTGGATTATTTGGATGGCTTTCTAAAGCAAGAATTTAGAAGTCACTATTTAAATTTTGCAGTGTTTTGTAGCTGACTAACGGTAATCTTAAATATATTTTTGATTCCAGACTTTTCCCAGTCTATTGTTGGTTTAATGCAGTGAAGTAAGATGGAAGCTATCTAGCGTGAGCATCTCAAACAGTTTCTCTTGTGTAGCTTTCTTCTGTAAACTACTATAAAAAAACAAAACAAACCCAAAACATTCCTTACAACGTAGTTTGTTCCACATCGTCACCATTTTTTTTTCTAAACCCTCTGGATATCTTCCTATGCATCTCATTGCTGCTTCAAATTAAGGACAGACAGTTAGTGTTGCAGTAAACTGCAGGCTCTTTTTTCACGCCATCATCTTCTGATAGTGAAACCAATGTGGTGTTGCAAGAAACTTACCACTCTGGCACATCCAGTAAAATATTCCATTCATATACTAATTTGGAGGGCAGTGTGCTGTAAATGATGTTCAGTGACCTAAATCCAGATGCACCATGGACTACTTCAGCGTTGCTCCATTGCTCGATTTATAAAGATAACCAGCTTGTTATGATCTATGATGAACCATTTTGAAACATCCCAGTTCTCACATAAGGCCATCAGAGTTTGCCCACTCATCCACCGTCTATAGCCCTGCAGTGGTTGGGTTGCAATACCCACAGTTCTACTGGAAGAAAAATCATTGGGATCTGTAACTGCTTATTTGCTTCAAGTGTGGAAGGGGTTGCCACATTTTTATGGTTGAGTGGGATTGGAAAGAACATTTCTACCAGCAATTCTGTATAGCAGCCAGAAAGTGTTGTGTCTTTCTGGTTTTGTTTTGGGGGTTTTTTTCACTGCATAAGTGCTTCATCTCTCCAGTGTTGGGTGTCATTCTTTAAAAGTTATCTGATGGTGGCTTTTTTCCTTATGTGGAACAGTAAATAGTTTATTTAATATGCATAAAATAAATCTGCAGTTTTCACTGCTTTCAAAACCTTATTCCTGAGCTTTCAGCAGCTAGAAATGGAAGGCAGGAAAACTGAGGAGTAAGGTTTTAGATCTATGCCAGAGTAGTCCTTAGCAAGCTAACTTCCTTCATCACCAAACTAAAACTGCTGTGTAAAGATCCATAAACACATACTTTCACTTCTGAAGCAGTGTCACAGCACATTTAACTCATAACTACCTGAAACATATTTGGAGTTAAGCCTAAAGTACAAGTATGCATTAAAGGTTCACAGCATTTTAATTAACATCTTGTGGGTGCTTCTAACACTGATTTAAGGTGATGCCATGATTCTGCCACATGCCGATGGGGCAGAGGGTTGGGGTGGTGGAGAGTTCAGGTAAGAATTTTTACATTGTTTAAACTTGTGCTATAGAAGCTACCTGTGGTGTAACTCCTTATGCATTAGTGTTACCTGACTCTCTTTGGTGGACTAAGTGGGTGAAGAATTCAACCTTAGAATCCTTTCTTTTAAATGAATGTATTAACCTGTTTTGACTCCACCTGTCTTCTTCCTTCCCTGCCTCCCCCTTTTTGCACTGTGTTTCTGAACTACTGGCTTTGGCTTGGTTCTTTGAATGATTTGCGGTTTGGTTTGAATATCTGGCTTTGGGCATCCCTACTGAACTTGGACTTCACCTGCATTCACTGCAGTGGCTCTTGGAAAGTGGAAGTGGGTGACAATGTGGCAACATTTGTTGTAATGCTGTTGTCTTTCTCTCTCTCTTTGTTTTTTCCCCTTCTTGTCATGAAAGACTGGAAAGAAGGCTGTTAAAGCAGTCCTGTGGGTTTCAGCGGATGGACTCCGAGTTGTAGATGAGAAAACAAAGGTTAGACTTCCCTGGATTTAAATCTTGAGAGTTTAAATATAGGATATGATTTTAAAACGTTTCCAAAAAATATCTCTAATTTTTGGATTAGTACAAATGTTGAAAAAGTGTAATGTATATGACCAAAATAGTTACTTAATAAAAGTATTCATTGCAAGTGGTTCCCTCAGAACTTGAGTGTTGTCCATCTGTTTTCAGCATGCACTCTGTTCATCTGAGTATTAGCAGTTATATAAACTCAGAATCCTGTTTTGTTCCATCTGCCTGAAAAGCATTTTTTTCTGATCAATTCTATTGACATTGGACATAGTTCCATGACCTTGAAGCTTTCTCTACTAGTAAAGAAGGTTACAAGATTAATCCATAAAGAAATATATATTGATCAACCCGGCATGCAGTGCAGCTGGGGAATGTTGTATATGATGAACAGGAACAGGGTTCCAGAATGCACTAAACTTTACAATAAGGGTTGTCCTTGCCAAAACTATAAAACCTGCATTCTGGATAAAGCATCTAGGAAACAAACCTATTTTAATAATTCATATTCATGTTTAAGGTAACTGTTTAGTCCTAAATAGAAGGCTTATGTAAAATCATTCACTTGTTAAACCTTGTATGTCATATTTTAGGGTTTTTCTAAAGCATTAACCTCTGAAAGTTATACCATTGTTACCTTTTTTGTTGTGTTCAGCCACCTGTATCTTTAGATAAAGATGGCAGTGAGGTAGTTGGAGCTTCAAGCGTTTGACTCCTTTCAGGAGTGAGTGAATACTTAAAACGGTGCCACTGCCATCAGTGCAACTTGCCTCCTTGTTTGTTCTATGTCCATGAAGTGTATCAATTTCAAAAGTGTATCACCTGAAAGGTAGCCTCTGCAGGTCAAATTTGAGAGGTAAGGTAAGGATGATAGGCAGAACTTTTTTAAGTCTCCCCTGTAATGTACAGGCTCTCTGTCTTTGGTCTCTAGATGCTTCATCTGGCATGTTTCATCTACATTAAATTCACTGAATGTTTTAAAAACTGAAATAGTTCAATATTCAGTTTCCAATATGCATGTTACCTTAGAGCCAGGTTTAGTGCCTTTTTTCCAAATGATTTTAAAAACATCTCTTTTAAGAATTATATTCTGTACATCTTATTTTCTTAAAGTAATATTTTACAAATAGTCTATGCATGCACTGATGTTTTTAAGTGTAGAATGTTGTTACTGCCTCCTGGTGGTTGAGTATCCTGAGACAGACACTAGATAATCCCTCAGACAGGAACGATTCTATAGAAAATGTTTTAAAATATATTTGAACTGATATTTTTTCACCAGACTAATACCTGTCTCTGAGTCTGCAATTTTATGAGCATATCTCCCATTGCTTTTGTATATAGATGTTGACCATCTAGCTTAAGTTATCAATACTACTGATGATCTGGAATATTAAAAATGTTGTGTAGCTATTGGAGCCTCTTATTTCTTGTGCACGCTTGCTTTGCCCACTCATGCCACTACTTGGCTCCTTGTGCCATTTATCCATATAGGGATGACAATTTGGGGGCTTGTTTTTAACTACAAACACCCTGTTTTTCTACAATGAGCTAGTAAGATTTTCAGGTGCACTTGAACCCAGGGGTCTCTGGTTCCTCCCCCCCCCCTTTCTTTGCTGTTATTGCTGAAAATGTTTTGTGTTAAGTATCTCTCTCTGTTTGGGGGGGTGTTTTGTTTTTTGTGTTCTTTCCCCTGTAGGATCTTATAGTTGATCAGACCATAGAAAAGGTTTCTTTCTGTGCACCGGACAGAAACTTTGACAGAGCTTTTTCATACATTTGTCGAGATGGCACCACACGACGCTGGATATGCCACTGTTTCATGGCCGTAAAAGACACGGTAAGTTTGTCAGGGTCTGCATCTTGCTTCTGTAACTAGGAGAAGCAAGAGCTGTGCCCAGCAGATTTTAAGTCTTTTGTGATGAACTTCGAATTTACTTGCAGAATATGCTCCAAGGTGCTTTGGCTTCAGCCAGGATATTATATAATTAATGGAGTGGTTTCAAGTCAAATATATATCGCTTGCTATCCTGTCTGTGGTTGCATATTCATTTTATGGACAGAAAAGATGCTCAGCCTGGTCTATAAATGGAATGTAACCAGCTTCTATCTCTAGCAGAATGGAGCTATGTGTCTAAAAATAGACAAAAGATACTGTCATCTGAAAATGTATGCAGCTAAAAACTGTGAAATAAATTCTCCAGGCCAAAAGCAGTGAATAACTAAATGTGCAGCTGGTAGCATCTGATCCTCTTGTATGCAAACACATTAAAGAAATTAAATTGACAAGAAATGGAACTAAACTGCATACATGGTAATTCCTTTTCTCCTTTTAAATGTCAAAGGGATATGTGTAGTTTCAGCAGAGGATTGAGAAGTCGATAACCTTTGTCCCTAACTTGTTGTATGTCCTTAGCCAAGCCATCTGACGTCATTGGTCTGGTTTCCTCTTCAGTAAAGTGGAGAGAAGCTTAAATACCTTCTATAAACAGTTTGAGATTCCGAGGTTGGAAAATGCTGCTGTTGGCATACAAAGTATTGCAAAAAAAATTTTTGAAGTTAAAGTTCTGGTAGAAACTACATACATTAATACAGGTCATACAGAGCAATTTTAGCTAGACTTGGAAGTGGCAGTACCTTTCTAAAGAGAGGTGGTAAACCTGAACTTCCAGTTATGATGGAACCTCTGAACTTATGATGGAGTGCAAGAATCCCTGATTTTCCTCAATGAAATAAGAGACTCAATTGCATTACTTGATTACAGTGAGTGAAGATGCTGACAGTTCTTCTAAGTAATCCTGTGTCAGAGGTACAACTGGGTTTCTAGACTTCGATTTCCATTTTATTTCCTTAGTGCAGTTAAAGGACAGTGGCTCTTTTGAATTCCAGACCACAGCGGTAATATTGGAGGTGCCTTTTCAGACAGCTTGGAGGCCTTTTGTATGCAATGATAATGGGATGCTCAGTGAAATCAACTCAACTTGTCCCTATACCAGCCAACCAAGGTCAAACCAGACTGAGGCATGAAAATCCTTAGTACTTCACTGCTTTTTGTGATAAAACTGCTTCTTGGTCTCTCGTCTAAGCAGAAAGTATTAGACATGAGGCTTCCTTTTTTCACTAGAGTAGTCTTGGCCTTTAACTAGTCATGGGCTGTTTACTGGGTGACTGTAAAGTATACCAGTTAGTCTGTTATGGGTATTAGCTTTTGAAGGAGGTTGCCTGGAATTACAGCTGCGGACATTTACTTGGGGTTATTAGAGGTACAAACATACCTACATTTGTTCTCATTAATTACCTTTTATGTGAGTGCAGGTAATGCCCAAAGAAAGGTAGGCTGGGTCTAGACCCTTTGAAAATTTTCTGTCTGCAACAATAGCGGCTCTTTAGATTTCATTGCTTATAACTGTAAAAGATCATTTTGTAGGAGTTCCTCTGAGCACAGTTGTTCCCAGAGGCGAGGGACTAGTGTTGACATGTTATTGCAATAATATCTTTGTTGTAGTTGAACTAAACAGCTTATCTGACAATCTTTCATTCCTGGGTGGCCTTCTCCAGCATTGCTGATGCATTAGTAGGCATTAGCCTTGGTACACAAGCTTCAATTTTAGACCTGGGTGTTAAAGCCAATAGTAATCATTCTTTGAAGAGCCTTAATTAGATTTCTCTTTATAAAGGGCAAGTTATCACTTGGAAATGCTCAATACCTGTGTGGTTTTTTTCCAGTTCCTTTATGATGCAATGCTATTTTGTACAGGGGGAAAGGTTGAGTCATGCCGTGGGCTGTGCATTTGCAGCATGCCTGGAGAGAAAGCAGAAACGAGAGAAGGAGTGTGGAGTGACTGCTACCTTCGATGCCAGTAGAACCACATTCACAAGGGAGGGGTCATTTAGGGTCACTACAGCTACTGAACAAGCAGAACGAGAGGAAATCATGAGACAGATGCAGGATGCTAAAGGTAAAGGCATATGGGTTGCGTGATTTTATGCAGTGGCCAGCAAAATCCGTACTGGTGTGACTCAAAGTCTGTGCAAAGAAGAAAGGAATAACATCTTTACCGCATCCTACAGTTTTGTGGAAGATGAGGCTAATTAGATGGTGAATTGTTTCCTGAAAATCAAAGGTAGTATCTCCTCCCCTCAGCATGGAGTACTTCCCTACAGGCCTTAGAATAACATGGACTACTTCATGTTGTGAATACACCTGGAGAAAGCTGTTGACACTTTTTAGGTTCATCTCTCAAGCAGAAGTGACAGGCCCCAGAACAAGGGCCTTAAATGCAAAAGTTATAGCAAACTTTCAAAACACATAATAATTCAGTATGAAGAACAAAACAAGCAGCTTATCAGGTTTTTTGGTTTTTGGTTTTTTAAAGGAGATTTAGGTTTTCTGGTCCACTGCCAGAATTATTGCTGTTTGGATTTTTGGCCTTGACAGCTTTTCAGGAAAAAAACCCAATGCCAGTGGCCTTTAAGAGGGTCTCTTTTTTTTGCTTATTAGATCTTAAACATGACGTATGAATTGAGTGCACTGGTTACCATTTCTTTGTTGGATGCAAAAATTGCCAAGAGCTAAAATGAGCAATCTGAAATGAAAGATTCTAGAGCTGTGTATTTTAATTTCACAGGAAGATGGTTCCTACTTCCAGCCCAATTTTTATTAAATGAAAAAGCAGAAGGCCCCAACTTTAGTAGCCTTAGTGGTATAACATCCTAAGAACTAGTGTATTCCATGTAATTTTATAATGGGTATAATTTGCAGTCTAAGGGCTCCACAACAGATTTCATATTCCTACTCTATTTCAGAACATTAATCTTTGCTATTTTTGTAGCTTTCATCATCCACCCACTTCCCATACATCAGTTTTAGAAAGTACTAAATGAAGCTTAAATGAGTGAGAGTCATTTGTGACTTGTGGGCATGAGTCACAAAGTTGACTCAGTTGAGGTGTGTGAAATCCTTTTGCAGCAAAAACATAGTAGAGCTTTTTCACTGGCCAGTTTCTGTTCCCTGAGCAGCTGCAGCTAATCGATATTTTGAGGGGAAGGACAGCCCAGTGAATTCCTCTGAACTGCTCTTCCTGCCGAGCTCCCTAGCATAGTGTTTCTCCTTGCCAGACCATTGGTTATTGTTGTTCTGTTGATATCTTTTGAAGAAAATTAACATTTTTGAGAGTGCTGGAAACCAGTAGCCAGGCTGCCTCTCCTATGACACTAGAATTGAAGTTAGCTGGGTGGGAAGAAGTTGATTTCTCCTGTTTTAAAAAAATGATGCAGCATACCCTTAAACTTGATTTTTGCTGTAGTTTGGGGGATAAACTTTCTACTAAGGTCCCTCATGAGCTGCAGCATATTAGAATTGCTAGTGATAAAATGAAGTATACACAGAGGTTGACAAGTACGTTCCCTGCATTAAATCCAGGTTGGGTCATGACATGTACCTCTCCATAACATTAACAGTTGTTCTGATCAACTTTTACATTTCCAATTGAGCACCAGTTTAACAGTACAGTCCTCTTCTCCCCTCCCCTTTTTTTATTTTTTGAGACTTAAAC